TTTCTTTTTTTATTTTATTTTAATAAATAGTATAGCCGTTCGGCTATACCATTTAAATATATTATTTAAAGAGTGTAGCTGTTCGGCTGTAAGCCTTAAATATTCAAGTACAGCCGACCGGCTATACGCGTTTAATATATTCGAATATTTAAAACGTATAGCCGCACGGCTATATGCTTTAATATATTATGTTTTAATTATTATTTATTTAATGAATAATATGTATTTAAATATATAATTAATTTCATAAATACTAATTAATTATGTTTAATTATCTTAAATAATTTTGTGAAATTTTAAATGGTTTCAATTATTTAAAAAATCCTAGAAAATTATTTTTGTATTCTAAAAATGGATTTTAGCCACTAAACCCTAAATCCAAGTCATGAACAAAAAACCATAGTTTTTGGGGACTGTTACTATTGGTAATGGCGGTGTTTTGCGAAACATTCATCACCCTGTTGCCGAAGAAGATTGGTAAAGTGAAAAGAGACAATTGATCTGCCTCTTAAGAATTTTAGAGTTGCTTGTTAAAATTTGGGGACGATTTGTTGTAAACACAAACTTTGAGAATTTTGGCTGAATACAGAATTGTAATGATAATTTTGGTTTAGTAATTATCTTTGCGGAGTGAGATTCACTGGCCTTTTTTGTACATTTGTGGCATCATTGCTATAAGAATTAGCCTTTGACTCAAATAATTTCTCTTGAAAAAAAAATTACAATTATGCTCTGCCTGAGGTAACTATAAATTAATTCATCTGGGCTTGGAATTGTGAATTGTATATACAGTTCAATGTTTCTATAAGTGTACAATTTGGTCTGAAACTCAATAACCAAACTTCTTAAATTGACTGCTCCTTCTCCATCTTTTGAAATTGATGCTTTCATTCTTTTGAGAAACTATATGTGGAAGCTTTCTTTCATGTATGTCAGACTTGTTGACCAAAAACAAAAAAGTACGTCACAGACTCTCAATACAAATATACACGAGGGAATTGTTTATCAAGCCTAAAAAAGATGCAAAATTTTTCATGTTCTTTCCTTCCAACAATGACAGACACATTAATCAATGGAACCCATCACAGAGCCTTTTTGAGTTCTTAGTGATCATTAAAAAGTTCCCAACCCTCAGCAGTATGCAAAACTGAAGATTATGACCACACTTTCAACCTAACCCTCTTCGTCACACAAAACCAATCGAAGATCAGGAATGTATCCACTTTCTTTGATCAAGGTTGACAGAGAATTTAAACTTGCATAAATTATGTCTGATTGAAGGTGTGATGTGTCTCCGGCAACGAAACAATGGACCTGGCTTTGAACAACAATCCAACTTACTCCAGGAGGCTTTTCTAAACCCTTTTCCCTGAGCCGTGTTCTTATCTGCCTGACCTCCATCCACAGACCTGCTGCAGCATATATATTAGATATCAGAACATAATTCCCTGCATTCATCGGTTCTAATTCAACAAGTTTTCCAAATATGGTGCCAGCTAACTTCGTGGCAGAATGAAGTCGACAAGCATTGAGCAAGGCTCTCCACACAGAAGAGTGATCAAATGGGTTCTTCAGGGCAGAGCAGTAACTACGATCTGTCATTCAAGATCTTGTTGATCGGAGACTCTGCCGTCGGCAAAAGCAGTCTTCTTGTTAGCTTCATCTCCAACTCTGTTGACGATCTTGCCCCCACCATTGGAAATAATCTTTCTACCCCATTTTTCTTTATGTTGCTTTTAGCTTAGCATTTCATTTGGGAGCTGATAAAAATGTTGGGCAATAAAACATTCTGATTCTTTTGTTACTGCCAATGAGATGAACGGATGAAGTGTTGGTAAGAACCCAAAGGGAGTTTATTACTGTTGGATCTATGATTGGATTTTGACAGTTGAATAGCTGGATTTCTTGTATATTATTCTCAATCATAGGCTTATGGCTCCTTACATTTCCTGTTTCATTGATGTAAATTGAACTCAATTAGTGAGTTCACAAGTCAATATGTTTGTGATTAGAAAAAAGAATTAATTTTTTTGTGAACTTCCAGAGGGTGGATCATAAAAAGTTAGTTGCTTGAATGGTTTCTTCATATGAATCTTGTGCATACTTTGGATTGATTGAGACAATCGTTGTGTGAGGCATTTGATGGGTTTTGTTCCTTTGTTTTGTAGGTGTGGATTTTAAAATCAAGCTGCTCACTGTAGCTGAGAAGAGAATTAAGATGACAATTTGGGACACAGGTAGTAAATTAATCTTGTCCATTCTTTCATTCTATGATGCAATTTTTATCGATAAATAAAATGCTTACGGATTTCAGAGCAAAAACCGATTTTTCTCATCATTCTATATGTTGTCTATTGCAGCTGGACAAGAGAGGTTCAGAACATTAACAAGCTCTTACTACAGAAATGCACAAGGAATCATTCTTGGTATGTTATCAAAAGCCTCATCATTTTTTGTCTGTAAATATATATTTTTCTCAAATTTTGTTGAGGAAAATGCGGCCATCTACTCTCACTTCTCTTAGTAGCGCCGATTTTTCGTGTTAAAGAGAAAAAAGGGAGAATATGGTTCCCATGTCTGGTTGACTGCTGAAATGAAGAATATTTCGTATCTTTGATCTTTCTAGTGACAATCTTGAATTTTGTATATGGGCATGTATCATGTCATATTGTTTAAGCCGGCATCATCTTACGCAAATATATCAAAAAATTTAACTCCTTTTCTTCAACTTCCTACATTTTTTATTTTCATGTGTATCTCTTATTGAGCTATAAGAAATGGGAGAATGGCATTGAAGAAGTTTCCCCTCATAGGCATAAATAGAACTATACCTAATTCAAAGTTCTCATATAATGCCTTGAATACAATACAATAGTTGCCTGATTTCAGCTAATGAACAACTCCTCTGCTTTATTTTAGTGTATGATGTGACTCGGAGAGACACCTTTACCAACTTATCAGATGTATGGGCTAAAGAAGTGGAGCTCTACTCAACTAATAAGGACTGTGCCAAGATGCTTGTTGGAAATAAAGTCGACAGAGTAAGTTTCAAATAGGGAATTTGTCTCTAGCAGTAAGTAGACAGCCAGCAAAGGTCTTATTACTTAGCTCCATGCTCTTCATTGTGTTTGTGTGTTTTGAGTTCTCACACATAGAAAACCAAGACTCTTGATTTGAAGTGATGAAATTTAGCGCAACTTTCATTGACCTTCGTCTTACCTGTGCCCTTCATCCCTGCCAGACTCATATGATGATGACATGGCATGATTAAGGGGTACCTGCAGGCTCTAACATATTTGAGAAATCAGAACATTGCCAGTTGGACATATATTCAGTGCTCACACACATCCAGAACCAGCATCTTAGTCTGCATAATACTGGTCAACATGAATGTGATTTTTCTAGTAGTAAATCCTCATGAAGCCTAGGATCATTATTAAATGTTCCATGTAGCCAAACACTTTTGTGGTCTCTTGAAGCATGTTCTGCCAAGGCAGAAACTTCCTTTGGGTTTCATTTGTGTAATTTTCTTTTTAATCCTTTATAAATTTACTTATTGAAAAGACGAGGCCTTTTTTTATTATCTCAATCTATAAATAAGTTAAGAAAGAAATTCTATGTGATTTCAGGAATCTGAAAGGGCTGTAAGTAGAGAAGAGGGGCTTGCTCTTGCAAAAGATCTTGGATGTTTGTTTCTTGAATGTAGCGCTAAAACTAGAGAAAATGTGGAGCAATGCTTCGAAGAGCTAGCATTAAAGGTACTTTTGAGAAAGTTTTGACAATTTCAGAACTGAAGTTCTTATGCAACTTCTTCCCTGCAAACTTGTTTATATGATTTTTGTTGTCGTATTGCTAAGAACTTAAGATCGAAAGCAGTCGTCGTGGGATTAGGGAATATGATTGAGATTATCTGAACATATGTGACATTTTCTTCTGTTCTCAATTCTAACCAACTGGAATTCTGTAACAGATAATGGAAGTTCCTAGTCTCCTGGAAGAAGGTTCAACTGCAGCAAAGAGAAATATTTTGAAGCAGAAACAGGAAAATCAAGCACCTCCTAGCGGCGGTTGTTGCTCGTAAAATGCCGCCATTTGCATTGCACCTTATATGAAGCTTGACTCACATCATGAACAGATCATGTATATGTTGTTTGTTTCAATTAAAATAGACAAATTGCCACTCAAATAGCATTCATATTAGCTTGTGTAAATGTGCTTTCCCTGTTTTTCAGCCATGTTATGAAACCAGAATTGCTTGTATTTTTCACATAAGAAAAATAAAATTACATGAGCGCTTTCTGATTCATATGCTCAGCACAATACTACTCAACTGTTATTTCCAGATTAACTATATCCTAAAAGCAAGAAATTTTTGTATTGCAACATTTAATACATACACATGGACATGTTGGGATGCTGCAATTTGAAAGGACCCACTTATTATAGACACATAGTACAATGTGCCATATAAGTTTTCTGAAGATTTCTACATGTTATGTTATATGCAACATCATTTATCCGTTGAGAAATCAAACTGAAAATATAAAGATATATGACATCGATTATCTTATTTTAGCCCTTCAAATAAACGGATGTCATACTCAGAAAATGAAAAGTAAAATGAAAATGTTTTAGGTTTCTAAATCAAAATTATAGATGTTTGAAGATCTAATTCAATGTTACCAAAATGATTTGATGGATTTTCTAAAATTACATTGTAAACAGAACAATAATTAGTTGCCCACTTATCACTTATTTTGTTATTACAAACGTTCTAAATCCATTTTTAATTTTGGGAAATGGAAAAGAAAGCAAGTTAAAAGAGTGTATTAATGGAAAATAGTTTTTCTTCGCCAAAATTAGTAGAAAATAGTTTAATAAGATATGAATAAGGGGAAATTGACCATGATGGTGAGTTTTATTTCGGTTTTGCATGTGATGGACATGTTGGACTTGATGTTCTGGGAACTGAACTTGCTGCGATGCTGGAAGGTTTGTTAATGGCTTTGTGGAGAGATTACCAAAATTTTATTTTGGCTTCTGATTCTCAAGAGGCAGTGTCGCTTGTTACTGGATCTGGCGAATGTTGGAGCAATCTAGGCAATCTGGTTGAAGATGTGAGGAATCTATTGGTGCATTTGCAAGTGTGTGAAGTGCGCCTTTTTTGGCTCACTTCGGCCTACGTGAACGGCGGCGATTGTTTTGGGCTGGTTGACGCTGATGGTGAATAGAGAAGATACTTAATGTTTTTTAGGGAGGTGTGTGGTACTCTTTTTCCTTGACCGAATTTTCCTCCACTGGAGTTTTCAAGGCAAGGTTTTATGAGGTCACCTTAGGTGCACCTCCTTTCTCCAGTTTTTCTTGAATGTTATTTTGATTGTTTCCGAAGAAGTAATAAAGTTGTTTATTTGATTATTAAAAAAAAGAAGAGGAAATGGTAATGCTAGTAAATAAATATTTGTATCAATTATCAGCATGAAGTAGTTGTCAATGTAAAAATAATTTGATTTGAGGGTGGTTTTTAGTAAATAAATATTTTGTATCAATTATGAGGTGCAATGAGGAATTTTATAGATGTAGATAGCAATGTTCGAAAAATCGCTAGGCGATAGGCAGGGGCTAGAAGAGTAATTGGGCCTAGGTGTTTAAAAAAATATATTTTATTTTGTATTATAAATTATAAATTTATACCAAAATTATGCAAAATAAAAGAATATATAAATTATAAAAAATCATAATTGATATAAAACATGGGAAAAAGTTGCTACAAAGAAAAATACTTGAAATGAAACGCTAGGCCTCTAAATCTAACTCTTCCTCCTCCCTCTCCATATCCCTCCAAGATTAGTTTTATAAAGTTTAAGTCAGAAAAAAAAAAAAAAAAAAAAAAAAAAAAAAAAGACCCAACCCGCCTAGGCGGAATTTTTTTAGTTTTTATTTTATTTGTTGGACGATTTTTCGAACACATAGATAGTAACTCGGTTCTGTTTTTATCTTATCCAACCCCTGAAAATCAACCAAACTTGCGCCGATATAGCAAATACTTTGATTTTTCTCCTTCCCGTTCCACTCAGTTGACAAACTCAAGGAGCTTCTCAGGCGAAGCAATGGTGGTGCCTCTCTTCAACCTCGCCCCCCAATCTTACCGATTATGAGTCTGATTCTTTGGCCCTCCCTCTCATCCTCAAATACAAATTCATTCTTCGCGCAGGGACGATGACTTTCGGCAAGCAAAACACGTTTCCGGAGTCGTTTGGCCTCCTCGACCAAGCTTTCCTGTCCGGCATCAATTTCTTCGACTCTACATAAATGTATCCAGTGGTTCAGCGAGCCCAGACTCGAGGATAGGGGAGGAGCGAGGAGCGTCGTTTTGGCCACCAAGGTTGTAAAGTAGCTCCGAGAGTATCAGTTCATGCTAACAATGGTGTGCCAGCTTGCTTTTCACTTCTGATGTGTGAAAATTTGTTCTGATATTACAAGTACCGTCTGGGCAGATGACTTGGATACGAGATGGTCCCAAGTGTTTGAATGCTAAGAATATCACCGAGGCCATTGTCGGCAGGTTTGCCCAGACCCGCCCTGGCCCCCAGACTCGCCCAGGCCGCCTAGGCGGCGCCTAGATCCTCCCAGGCCGCCTAGACCCCCCTAACTCCCTGGTGTCGGTGTCCTCCCGCCTAGCCCCTAGGCCGATATCTCGAACACTGCTCAAAACCTGGAACGGGCTTGCTCTGTGCCCTAGACGTTCGTTGTGACGAGTTCGAGTCCGATTCGCTAGAATATTTAAAAAACCGAGTATAGCCATACGACTATACTATTTAAAAGAAAATTAGCAGGTGATTTTCTTTGACAATAGTTTATTCATATCGAATATGTATAGTGCATTAGCAGGTGATTTTCTATCTGTCTCTGGCAGCTGGTATGTTTAAGAGTACTTTTTAGCAATATCCTGGAAGTGGGAGAACATCTTTACTGGTCTAGACAACAAACATGAGCGTGTGATCTGAACCATTTATCACTTTGACTTCATCTGGTGGATTTAACTATGCTACGAATTAGATTTCTTCGCCTATCCTTGTTGAGGAAAAAAATTGGAAATTCTATACATAGAATCTAAATTACCTTAACTACAAAGCTTGTTCTTCTATTCCTTCACTGCTCAATGTAACAACGTTCATCCACAAAGTGCATTCACTTCTTCCATATATGGCCTCAAAGAGTCATGAGGATCTCAAAGCACTCTTTCCAGCATTGTCTGATTGTGGCCCAGTTGCCTGCCTCAAGGAAACTCAAAGAGTTTTCGTCGAGACTTGGCCTCATAGTAAAAGAAACTAAAAGTGAAAGAAAGAAGTTGACTGTAGTAAATTCAAAATAAAATCAAACCCTATAGTAAGAGCAATCACTAGTTTACTGGGAAGCATAATGAAACTCATTTCAAAGAGACGTATTGGTTCAGAAGAACATTAGGATTGTAGGGAAACAGATTCTTTTGGTGTAGACCTTCAATAGAAATTTTAAGTGAAAGTAAGCACTCTTTGGCTTCTTTGAAATACCGTCCTCCATTTTAGGTGTGCTTGCAGCCATTTTCATTTTCTTCATCAGGGTCATCATCAAGAAATGTAAGATGATTTTTTGTTGGTGCAAGAGAATCCTCTCCCCAGGAACTCGAGCCACCCAATGAAACTTTTCTTTTCTTGCAAAATGATTGATTTGTAGCTTGCCCACCCACTAGAAATTCCACAAATAAGCTCCATGAATCACACACTTTACACAAGCACCTAAAAGAGAATGCATTAAGGACGGTAAGAAGCAAATGAAAGATACAAAGAGTTGCAATTAAAAACAACTGTCTGGGGTCAACCAAATTGATTCTGTTTTGCTAATTAGTTAAGAAGTCATGTAAAAGCAGAGGGTTAATGTTTTATAGTTTAGTCACCGAGGTCGACACCAGAAAAATGCGCCCCACCACGGTTTAGATTTCATAAGTTAAGAGAAGGTGTAGAAAGAGAAAAGACCTTAAAAGATATTCTGCACAACTGATTCTGGTATCTTTTGAAATAAGGTAATCAAGAAGCACCTGATGGTCATAGCTCAACTGCAAAATAGGAAGAAAAAAGAAAGTGCATAATGTCAGTGATTCTTTTTTATTCTGCAATACCATATACTTCAAATTAACAACTAGGAGGCATGCCGAAGTGGAAATGCAGATATGTAAATGTCCAAGAGTGACCATCTTGCCTCTAATACGAAAAGATGGAACAAGAGTACAGGATTGAAAAGATCTGAGACACTAAAAAGTAAATTGCCATTCGAATCCTCCAATGCAACCTTTTCCTTTTCATCCCTATATAAACCCAAAAATCTTGTTATAAGGAATCCATGACGATAACTTTTAAAACAATGGAAAACTAGGATATTAATTCCTTACTGTTCTGCACAACAAGGTACACAAAGTAGATGCAAGAGCACTTTGAATAATGCATCATCCTACAGTTCAAAAACAAGCCAAGAAATGAGGACATGAGTCTAAAAAACTGCAAGAAAAATACGACAAATGAAGAATACAGAACTGCAATTTTAGTACGTGAAATTGTTGAATAAGATGATGCATTCAGATAGACAAAACAAAATATGGATACAATTTTTCTTTTTTTTTTGGTCTGGGTGAATAGATTGCCTATTTTGCTTATATCACGTTGCATATAAACATAGACAAAAAAACTCCTAGTTTCAAAGATAAAGAAGACATACCTTTTTGATATACAGTTGGATGACGGATTTGGCAAAGTCAACACATTCTACAAAATACATTCCATGGTCCACTGTCATATTAGCTGGAAGATGCCCTTGAAGCTAGTTATAAAGCTCCAAGAGACCTTTCTTTCTTAGACAGTAACATTAGGCTTCTGGTACTAGAAAGAAATCAATAAAGCAGAAAGGCAATGGTGAGCAATGCCAATGCGCCTCCCTCCACTAACCGACCTCTCCCTGCATGCGTGTTGACGACTAATTTATCCTTTCCTTTTCTTTACCCCAACCAAGACCACCAGGAATTATAAATCTCTCATTCCCTCTTCATTTGCCTCCCAATTCTCACTCTCTCAACAACAGAAACACAGTTTTCTATCTCTTCCTTTCACTCCACACGAAACAAACCCCTCATTTCTTATGCCTTTCCTTATTTTATGTCACCTTTCCTCCTTCTCACACACTATATACATGTCACCTTTGCTCCTTCACACCAGCAAGCTTCGTCTGTTTTCATTTGGGAAAAAAAAGGACACGACCCGCCTCGGCGCCTAGACCCGCCTTGGCGCCCAGACTCGCCCAGGCTGCCTAGGCGCTGCCTAGATCCTCCCTGGCCGCCTAGGCCCCCCCTAACTCCTTGGTGTTGGTGTCCTCCCGCCTAGAGCCAAGGCCAATATCTCGAACACTGCTCAAAACCTGGAACGGGCTTGCTCTGTGCCCTAGACGTTCGTGGTGATGAGTTCGAGTCCGATTCGCTAGAATATTTAAAATACCGAGTATAGCCGTGCGGCTATACTATTTTTAAAAAAATTAAGAAAATACCGAGTAAAGCCGCCCGGCAATACTGGTTTTTAAAAAATTAGGTAAAAACGATTACAGCAGTTCATGAATGTCTGCAGTTCTCCTTATTCTAAAAGGAAAATTATTTTGAATATTATCTCTAGTTCCAGCATTTGGTCTCTTTACTGCATGTTGTAGTTATCGAATATTGCCCGTCGCATGTTGATTTACTAATATGCTTTGATTTCCTTTCATTGGATACATTGATATTGTAGGGAAGTACAGTGTTCATCCATTATCTCTTGCAATAGGTTCGACACCTCTCCCTCCAATTCTTTATAGTTTCATCATGTTCTTGTCCACGTAAGGGCTGTAATGGGGATCCTGCAGATGCTCGGTAGATTCTAGAGGTCAATTTTCAAATTGTTCATCTCATCTTTTGATATGTAGGAACTTAGAATACTAAAATAATTTTCTAGGATATTTAAATAATTGAAACTACTTTTAAAATAATTTTAAATTCCACAAAATTTTTAAAGATAATTAAATATAATTAATTACAATTTATGAAGTAAATTTTGAAATTAATTAAAATATTTAAGTACTAATTCGTCACTAAATAAAAAATAATTAAAACATAATACATTTAAATATTCGAATATATTAAATAGTCTAGCCGCGCGGTCATACCATGTAAATATTCAAATATATTTAAGCGTATAGCCGCCCGGCGATACCCTTTAAATATTCCAATATATTTAAGAAGTACAGCCGTCCGGCTGCATGGTATATTTTAAGAGTATAGCCGTCCGGCTATACTTAACCCGCCCAGGCCGCCTAGGCGGATTTTATTATTATTTTTTTTGGTGGGACGATTTTTCGAACCCCTGAAAATCCACCAAACTTTGCGCCGATACTTTGATTTTTCTCCTTCCCGTTCCACTCACAGTTGACAAACTCAAACAGCTTCTCAGGCGAAGCAATGGCGGTGCCTCTCTTCAACCTCGCCCTCAATCTTACCGACTCTGAGTCTGATTCTTTGGCCCTCCCTCTCATCCTCAAATACAAATTCATTCTTCGTAGGGACGATGACTTTCGGTGAGCAAAACACGTTTCCGGAGTCGTTTGGCCTCGTCGACCAAGCTTTCCTGTCCGGCATCAATTTCTTCGACTCTACAGAAATGTATCCAGTGGTTCAGCGAGCCCAGACTCAGGGCCTGGGAAGATGACTTGGATACTAGATGGCCCCAAGTGTTTGAATGCTAAGAACATCACCGAGGCCATTGACGGCAGGTTTGCTAAAGCAAACAGTTTGTAATTTTTCTTCTGTTTAAACGCTTCGTGTTATGCTGTGCTGAGTGATGAGTTTTGCAGACAGGTTACATTGATCATTGGCGTGATGGGTTTGTATCTAGATTAAGTGTTTTCGGATTTTGGTTTCACATTTCTGTAAATTTGCAGATTGACATGAATTTGACAATGGGAAGGTTCATTGCTTTCGCATTATTTTTCCCAACTATATATGTTTACAACTCCATAATTTGCTTGCCTTCACCCAGGCTTGTCTTGCTTTTTCGACTTTGTGCCTACACAATTCCTGTTAGTAAGACTTGAAATGATTAGTGACTGTTTTTGTAGCTATGTTCCCATGTTTGGAGAAACTGAGGATGATCCAACCCGACATTTTTGTTCGATTCCTATAGACAAACAACTTGATGCTCTTGGACGAGCTGTTGATTCTGGTAAGGTTAGTTTCATACTGTTGCCTTTTCTTTGATAAGTCATTTAGTTTGGTGACTTTTTCCTTTATTTTGCAATGTTTTAAGAGTATAAAATTCCCATGTGAATTGAACGGAAATTTTTGTTTTGTAGATTAGATATGGGGTGATGAGGTTTGTTCAGGTAGCTGAAAGGGGCACTCCGCATCCAAAGATTGTCTCTGTGCAGGTTGTCTATTTGATCATTGCACTCTCAGTCAAATGCTTTCTGTATTGTTGCTGATTTTTGGACTAATACAACTTACTGTCTATTTGATAGAACTCGTACAGCTTGGTCTGTCGAACTTCTGATTCGCCGTCGGGAAGGGCTTCTTATCTCAACATGCATTTGGGTTTTCATTTTTTATGGCTTTCAGATGCTCGGTTGAATCTTTTTAGAGATCAATTTTCAAATTGTTCATCTCATCTTTTGATATGTAGGAACTTACAATACTAAAATAATTGAAACTATTTTTAAAATAATTTTAAATTCCACAAAAGTATTTAAGATAATTAAATAAAATTAATTACAATTTATGAAGTAATTTATGAAATTAATTAAAATATTTACATACTAATTCCTCACTAAATAAAAAATAATTAAAACATAAAATATTTAAAGATTATAGCCGGGCGGCTATACCTTCCATATATTCGAATATATACAAAGCGTATCGCCGAGCGCCTATACCTTCTGAATATTCATTTACAGCGTATCGCCGATCGGCTGTACTGTTTGAATATTATATTTGAAGAGTATAGCCGTGCGGCGATACTCTGCAAATATCCGACTATAGCCGCACGGAGATACTCGTTTAGTATATTCTAATATTTAAACCGCATAGCCGAGCGGCTATACCCTTCAAATATTTAATTATTTATTATTTATTTAGTGAATAATTAGTGTTTAAATATTTAATTAATCTCATAAATTACTTCATAAATATTGATTAATTGTATTAAATTATTTTGCGGAATTTTAAAATAGTTTAAATTATTAAAAAAATCCTAGAAAATTATTTTTGTATTCTAAAAATTAATTTTAGCCTCCAAACCCTAAATCCAATTCTTGAACCAAAAACCATAGCTTTTGGGGACTGTTAAAATTGGTAATGGAGGTGTTTTCCCAAACATTCATCACCTTGTTGCCGCTGAAGAAGATTGGTAAAGGGAAAGGAGACAATTGATTTGCCTCTCAAGAATTTTAGAGTTGCTGTTAAATTTTGGGGACGATTTGTTGTAAACACAAACTTTGTGAAGTTTGGTTGAATACAGAATCGTAATGATAATTTTGGTTTAGTAATTATCTTTGCGGAGTGAGATTGGCTGGTGTTTTTTGTGAGATTTGTGGCATCATTGCTATAAGAATTAGCCTTGACTCAAATAATTTATCTTGAAAAAAATAAAAATAAAAATAAAAATAATGCTCTGCCTTAGGTAACTATAAATCCATCTGGGCTTGGAGCCATTGTGAATTGTATATACAGTTCAATGTTTCTATAAGTGTACAATTTGGTCTGAAACTCAATAACCAAACTTCTTAAATTGACTGCTCCTTCTCTATCTTTTGAAATTGATGCCTTCATTCTTTTGAGCAACTATCTCTGGAAGCTTTTTTTCATGTATGTCACAGACTCTCAATACAAATATACACGAGGGAATTGTTTATCAATCCGGAAAAAGATTCAAAAAATTTCATGTTCTTCCCTTCCAACAATGACAGACACAATAATCAATGACAGACACAAAATTTCATGTTCTTCCCTTCCAGCATATATATGGTTCCAGCTAACTTCGTGGCAGAATGAAGTTGACAAGCATTGAGCAAGGCTCTCCACACTGATGCCTCTGCTTCAACAGGCATTGATTCAAAGCTAGGCCTCTAAATCTAACTCTTCCTCCTCCCTCTCCATATCCTCTCCAAGTATTCTTATTTAAAGTCAGGTTAGGTTTAAAAAAAAAAAAAAAACAAAAAAAAAAAAAAAAAAAACCAACCCGCCTAGCCCGCCTAGGCGGATTTTTTTTATTTATAATTTTTTATTTGTTGGACGATTTTTCGAACACATAGATAGTAACTCGGTTCTGTTTTTATCTTATCCAAACCCTGAAAGTCCACCAAACTTGCGCCGTTCCACTCACAGTTGACAAACTCAAAGAGCTTCTCAGGCGAAGCAATGGCCGTGCCTCTCTTCAACCTCGCCCCCAATCTTACCGACTCTGAGTCTGATTCTTTGGCCCTCCCTCTTATCCTCAAATACAAATTCATTCTTCGCGCAGGGACGATAACTTTCGGCAAGCAAAACACGTTTCCGGAGTCATTTGGCCTCCTAGACCAAGCTTTCCTGTCCGGCATCAATTTCTTCGACTCTACAGAAATGTATCCAGTGGTTCAGCGAGCCCAGACTCAGGGTCAGGGGAGGAGCGAGGAACGTCGTTTTGGCCACCAAGGTTGTGAAGTAGCTCTGAGAGTATCAGTTCATGCTGACCATGGTGTGCCAGCTTGGTTTTCACTTCTAATGTGTGAAAATTTGTTATGATATTACATGTACCGTCTGGGAAGATGACTTTGATACGAGATGGCCCCAAGTTCTTGAATGCTAAGAATATCACCGAGGCCAATGACGGCAGGTTTGCTAAAGCGAACAGCGCAAACAATTTGTAATTTTGCTTCTGTTTAAAAGCTTCGTGTTATGCTGTGCTGAGTGATGAGTTATGTAATGTTTAAATGCAGCTTAAGTGCTTTCGGATTGAGGACAGATTACTGATCATTGGCTGGTCTACACAAATGGAGGTGATGCCATTTTGGTGTTAGCATCAAATGCCATTCATTTTCTCTGGAAATGGCCAAAGGACCTTAATTCTGGTGGAGTGGTAAACAATGACATGCTTTATAATTCTTTCCTATTAGATTTCTCCTCTCTTTCCTTTCGAAATTGAAACTGAAGCGATAGTTGGTCATTTGATTCTGATGATATTGATTGAATGCAGGCGACTCCCAAGGTTCACCCTAATTTATGGAAACCAAGGAGTGGCTGATGAACAATGATCTTCCCAGCACCAACCCTGAAGAAGAGGCTATGTTCTGCTTTGATTTGTCCTAGAATGATTCATATCTCATATCACCAACAGGAGGAACGATCTCCATTTTTGAGTATTTGCAGAGATGCCAGACCTGCTAGGAAAAAAAAAGTCTTTAAAAAAACGACATACAAGTTTTCGAAAAATCGGCCGCCTAGGCGGTCTAGGCGGTCTAGGCGGGTTCTTTTTTTATTTTATTTTAATAAATAGTATAGCCGAGCGGCTATACCTTTTAAATATATTATTTCGCTTTGCCACTACTCACCAAGAGCCACTTGTTTGTATGAATATATTGACACGATTATTACACAGTTATGATGGGTCGGGATTGAGTCCAGATGATCTTGATCGCATTTCAACCTTGTCACTTGAGCCAAAACTCACCAATCTCTCTTTGACAAAGAAGAAAAGGGTTGGGACGATTGATCGGGATCACTAGTTATAAGTTTGGGCTCTAGTGGGATTAATCTCTAAGAAAAATTAAAGATAACCAATACATGATCTGATCTGCAACTAAATATAAGAAATAGGAGGGTATCCATTAATATTAGTGGCAATCTACAAGCAGGAGGAACCCTATGAGGGTTCATAAAATCCATATTTACTTGAGATAAACATTACAGTCAATTTGATGAAAATTAAATTGCTTAATTAATGTCTCAAAGGAGAATACATCTTCAAGCATCTACCTTTGCCGCTGCAGATGCATAACTTACGCTGATTTCCCTCATAGTTTTGCACTAACTCGACTACTCATATCGGAGAAAATTGATCTTTATGCTCGTTGAACATTTCTTCAGCATCTGAATGCATTGAAATATGATTGAAAGGGATGACATAAAGATCAAAACCAATATTCAAAAGATGAGATGACTCAACAATTGGAGCCCCAGAAAGCAGCATACTCCTTTTGGGTCAGTTAACCAGACCAACTCAGTTTGTAAACAATCAAAACAACTCAAGGAACATGAAACTGAATATTTAGGTAAGGGAATATTTGTTCATCATCAGCTTCCTAGCAACCAAACATAACATAAACCAAAACAGAAAATGGAAAGTACTGATTTTCAATTGCAATTTCTCAGCTTCTCATTAGTTTTGTCTCTGAAATTCAGATATCAAGGCTGGTCTACACAAATGGAGGTGATGCCATTTTGGTGTTAGCATCAAATGCCATTCATTTTCTCTGGAAATGGCCAAAGGACCTTAATTCTGGTGGAGCGGTAAACAATGACATGCTTTATAATTCTTTCCTATTAGATTTCTCCTCTTTCCTTTCGAAATTGAAACTGAAGCGATAGTTGGTCATTTGATTCTGATGATATTGATTGAATGCAGGCGACTCCCAAGGTTCACCCTAATTTATGGAAACCAAGGAGTGGCTGATGAACAATGACCTTCCCAGCACCAACCCTGAAGAAGAGGGCTATGTTCTGCTTTGATTTGTCCAAGAATGATTCATATCTCATATCACCAACAGGAGGAACGATCTCCATTTTTGAGTATTTGCAGGATGCCAGACCTGCTAGGAAAAAAAAGTCTTTAAAAAAACGCCATACAAGTTTTCGAAAAATCGGCCGCCTAGGCGGTCTAGGCGGTCTAGGCGGGTTCTTTTTTTATTTTATTTTAATAAATAGTATAGCCGATCGGCTATACCTTTTAAATATATTATTTAAAGAGTATAGCTGTTCGGCTGTAAGCCTTAAATATTCAAGTACAGCCGACCGGCTATACGCGTTTAATATATTCGAATATTTAAAACGTATAGCCGCACGGCTATATGCTTTAAATATATTATGTTTTAATTATTATTTATTTAATGAATAATATGTATTTAAATATATAATTAATTTCATAAATACTAATTAATTATGTTTATTATCTTAAATAATTTTGTGAAATTTTAAATGGTTTCAATTATTTAAAAAATCCTAGAAAATTATTTTTGTATTCTAAAAATGGATTTTAGCCACTAAACCCTAAATCCAAGTCATGAACAAAAAACCATAGTTTTTGGGGACTGTTACTATTGGTAATGGCGGTGTTTTGCGAAACATTCATCACCCTGTTGCCGAAGAAGATTGGTAAAGTGAAAGGAGACAATTGATCTGCCTCTTAAGAATTTTAGAGTTGCTTGTTAAAATTTGGGGACGATTTGTTGTAAACACAAACTTTGAGAATTTTGGCTGAATACAAAATCGTAATGATAATTTTGGTTTAGTAATTATCTTTGCAGAGTGAGATTGACTGGCCTTTTTTTGTACATTTGTGGCATCATTGCTATAAGAATTAGCCTTTGACTCAAATAATTTCTCTTGAAAAAAAAAATTACAATTATGCTCTGCCTGAGGTAACTATAAATTAATTCATCTGGGCTTGGAATTGTGAATTGTATATACAGTTCAATGTTTCTATAAGTGTACAATTTGGTCTGAAACTCAATAACCAAACTTCTTAAATTGACTGCTCCTTCTCCATCTTTTGAAATTGATGCTTTCATTCTTTTGAGAAACTATATGTGGAAGCTTTCTTTCATGTATGTCAGACTTGTTGACCAAAAACAAAAAAAGTACGTCACAGACTCTCAATACAAATATACACGAGGGAATTGTTTATCAAGCCTAAAAAAGATGCAAAATTTTTCATGTTCTTTCCTTCCAACAATGACAGACACATTAATCAATGGAACCCATCACAGAGCCTTTTTGAGTTCTTAGTGATCATTAAAAAGTTCCCAACCCTCAGCAGTATGCAAAACTGAAGATTATGACCACACTTTCAACCTAACCCTCTTCGTCACACAAAACCAATCGAAGATCAGGAATGTATCCACTTTCTTTGATCAAGGTTGACAGAGAATTTAAACTTGCATAAATTATGTCTGATTGAAGGTGTGATTGTCTCCGGCAACGAAACAATGGACCTGGCTTTGAACAACAATCCAACTTACTCCAGGAGGCTTTTCTAAACCCTTTTCCCTGAGCCGTGTTCTTATCTGCCTGACCTCCATCCACAGACCTGCTGCAGCATATATATTAGATATCAGAACATAATTCCCTGCATTCATCGGTTCTAATTCAACAAGTTTTTCAAATATGGCTCCAGCTAACTTCGTGGCAGAATGAAGTCGACAAGCATTGAGCAAGGCTCTCCACACAGAAGAGTGATCAAATGGGTTCTTCAGGGCAGAGCAGTAACTACGATCTGTCATTCAAGATCTTGTTGATCGGAGACTCTGCCGTCGGCAAAAGCAGTCTTCTTGTTAGTTTCATCTCCAACTCTGTTGACGATCTTGCCCCCACCATTGGTAATAATCTTTCTACCCCATTTTTCTTTATGTTGCTTTTAGCTTAGCATTTCATTTGGGAGCTGATAAAAATGTTGGGCAATAAAACATTCTGATTCTTTTGTTACTGCCAATGAGATGAACGGATGAAGTGTTGGTAAGAACCCAAAGGGAGTTTATTACTTACTGTTGGATCTATGATTGGATTTTGATAGTTGAATAGCTGGATTTCTTGTATATTATTCTCAATCATAGGCTTATGGCTCCTTACATTTCCTGTTTCATTGATGTAAATTGAACTCAATTAGTGAGTTCATAAGTCAATATGTTTGTGATCAGAAAAAAGAATTAATTTTTTGTGAACTTCCAGAGGGTGGATCATAAAAAGTTAGTTGCTTGAATGGTTTCTTCATATGAATCTTGTGCATACTTTGGATTGATTGAGACAATCGTTGTGTGAGGCATTTGATGGGTTTTGTTCCTTTGTTTTGTAGGTGTGGATTTTAAAATCAAGCTGCTCACTGTAGCTGAGAAGAGAATTAAGATGACAATTTGGGACACAGGTAGTAAATTAATCTTGTCCATTCTTTCATTCTATGATGCAATTTTTATCGATAAATAAAATGCTTACGGATTTCAGAGCAAAAACCGATTTTTCTCATCATTCTATATGTTGTCTATTGCAGCTGGACAAGAGAGGTTCAGAACATTAACAAGCTCTTACTACAGAAATGCACAAGGAATCATTCTTGGTATGTTATCAAAAGCCTCATCATTTTTTGTCTGTAAATATATATTTTTCTCAAATTTTGTTGAGGAAAATGCGGCCATCTACTCTCACTTCTCTTAGTAGCGCCGATTTTTCGTGTTAAAGAGAAAAAAGGGAGAATATGGTTCCCATGTCTGGTTGACTGCTGAAATGAAGAATATTTCGTATCTTTGATCTTTCTAGTGACAATCTTGAATTTTGTATATGGGCATGTATCATGTCATATTGTTTAAGCCGGCATCATCTTACGCAAATATATCAAAAAATTTAACTCCTTTTCTTCAACTTCCTACATTTTTTATTTTCATGTGTATCTCTTATTGAGCTATAAGAAATGGGAGAATGGCATTGAAGAAGTTTCCCCTCATAGGCATAAATAGAACTATACCTAATTCAAAGTTCTCATATAATGCCTTGAATACAATACAATAGTTGCCTGATTTCAGCTAATGAACAACTCCTCTGCTTTATTTTAGTGTATGATGTGACTCGGAGAGACACCTTTACCAACTTATCAGATGTATGGGCTAAAGAAGTGGAGCTCTACTCAACTAATAAGGACTGTGCCAAGATGCTTGTTGGAAATAAAGTCGACAGAGTAAGTTTCAAATAGGGAATTTGTCTCTAGCAGTAAGTAGACAGCCAGCAAAGGTCTTATTACTTAGCTCCATGCTCTTCATTGTGTTTGTGTGTTTTGAGTTCTCACACATAGAAAACCAAGACTCTTGATTTGAAGTGATGAAATTTAGCGCAACTTTCATTGACCTTCGTCTTACCTGTGCCCTTCATCCCTGCCAGACTCATATGATGATGACATGGCATGATTAAGGGGTACCTGCAGGCTCTAACATATTTGAGAAATCAGAACATTGCCAGTTGGACATATATTCAGTGCTCACACACATCCAGAACCAGCATCTTAGTCTGCATAATACTGGTCAACATGAATGTGATTTTTCTAGTAGTAAATCCTCATGAAGCCTAGGATCATTATTAAATGTTCCATGTAGCCAAACACTTTTGTGGTCTCTTGAAGCATGTTCTGCCAAGGCAGAAACTTCCTTTGGGTTTCATTTGTGTAATTTTCTTTTTAATCCTTTATAAATTTACTTATTGAAAAGACGAGGCCTTTTTTTATTATCTCAATCTATAAATAAGTTAAGAAAGAAATTCTATGTGATTTCAGGAATCTGAAAGGGCTGTAAGTAGAGAAGAGGGGCTTGCTCTTGCAAAAGATCTTGGATGTTTGTTTCTTGAATGTAGCGCTAAAACTAGAGAAAATGTGGAGCAATGCTTCGAAGAGCTAGCATTAAAGGTACTTTTGAGAAAGTTTTGACAATTTCAGAACTGAAGTTCTTATGCAACTTCTTCCCTGCAAACTTGTTTATATGATTTTTGTTGTCGTATTGCTAAGAACTTAAGATCGAAAGCAGTCGTCGTGGGATTAGGGAATATGATTGAGATTATCTGAACATATGTGACATTTTCTTCTGTTCTCAATTCTAACCAACTGGAATTCTGTAACAGATAATGGAAGTTCCTAGTCTCCTGGAAGAAGGTTCAACTGCAGCAAAGAGAAATATTTTGAAGCAGAAACAGGAAAATCAAGCACCTCCTAGCGGCGGTTGTTGCTCGTAAAATGCCGCCATTTGCATTGCACCTTATATGAAGCTTGACTCACATCATGAACAGATCATGTATATGTTGTTTGTTTCAATTAAAATAGACAAATTGCCACTCAAATAGCATTCATATTAGCTTGTGTAAATGTGCTTTCCCTGTTTTTTCAGCCATGTTATGAAACCAGAATTGCTTGTATTTTTCACATAAGAAAAATAAAATTACATGAGCGCTTTCTGATTCATATGCTCAGCACAATACTACTCAACTGTTATTTCCCAGATTAACTATATCCTAAAAGCAAGAAATTTTTGTATTGCAACATTTAATACATACACATGGACATGTTGGGATGCTGCAATTTGAAAGGACCCACTTATTATAGACACATAGTACAATGTGCCATATAAGTTTTCTGAAGATTTCTACATGTTATGTTATATGCAACATCATTTATCCGTTGAGAAATCAAACTGAAAATATAAAGATATATGACATCGATTATCTTATTTTAGCCCTTCAAATAAACGGATGTCATACTCAGAAAATGAAAAGTAAAATGAAAATGTTTTAGGTTTCTAAATCAAAATTATAGATGTTTGAAGATCTAATTCAATGTTACCAAAATGATTTGATGGATTTTCTAAAATTACATTGTAAACAGAACAATAATTAGTTGCCCACTTATCACTTATTTTGTTATTACAAACGTTCTAAATCCATTTTTAATTTTGGGAAATGGAAAAGAAAGCAAGTTAAAAGAGTGTATTAATGGAAAATAGTTTTTCTTCGCCAAAATTAGTAGAAAATAGTTTAATAAGATATGAATAAGGGGAAATTGACCATGATGGTGAGTTTTATTTCGGTTTTGCATGTGATGGACATGTTGGACTTGATGTTCTGGGAACTGAACTTGCTGCGATGCTGGAAGGTTTGTTAATGGCTTTGTGGAGAGATTACCAAAATTTTATTTTGGCTTCTGATTCTCAAGAGGCAGTGTCGCTTGTTACTGGATCTGGCGAATGTTGGAGCAATCTAGGCAATCTGGTTGAAGATGTGAGGAATCTATTGGTGCATTTGCAAGTGTGTGAAGTGCGCCTTTTTTGGCTCACTTCGGCCTACGTGAACGGCGGCGATTGTTTTGGGCTGGTTGACGCTGATGGTGAATAGAGAAGATACTTAATGTTTTTGAGGGAGGTGTGTGGTACTCTTTTTCCTTGACCGAATTTTCCTCCACTGGAGTTTTCAAGGCAAGGTTTTATGAGGTCACCTTAGGTGCACCTCCTTTCTCCAGTTTTTCTTGAATGTTATTTTGATTGTTTCCGAAGAAGTAATAAAGTTGTTTATTTGATTATTAAAAAAAAGAAGAGGAAATGGTAATGCTAGTAAATAAATATTTGTATCAATTATCAGCATGAAGTAGTTGTCAATTTTAAAAAAAAAAAAAAAAAAAAAAAAAAAAAAAAAAAAAAAAAAAAAAAAAAAAAAAAAAAAAAAAAAAAAAAAAAAAAAAAAAAAAAAAAAAAAAAAAAAAAAAAAAAAAAAAAAAAAAAAAAAAAAAAAAAAAAAAAAAAAAAAAAAAAAAAAAAAAAAAAAAAAAAAAAAAAAAAAAAAAAAAAAAAAAAAAAAAAAAAAAAAAAAAAAAAAAAAAAAAAAAAAAAAAAAAAAAAAAAAAAAAAAAAAAAAAAAAAAAAAAAAAAAAAAAAAAAAAAAAAAAAAAAAAAAAAAAAAAAAAAAAAAAAAAAAAAAAAAAAAAAAAAAAAAAAAAAAAAAAAAAAAAAAAAAAAAAAAAAAAAAAAAAAAAAAAAAAAAAAAAAAAAAAAAAGCAAACCCGGGGGGAGAGGGAAGAAACGTACCAAAGCCTGAGGCTCCAAGCAGCAAACAAAAACCGATTAAGAGGCAAATCATGATCATTTCAGTGTTGGCTAACACTTCAGAATCAAAACAAGAGTGGGTCCTCCCTCACATATTCTTGAAAAATGCAGGATCAGACTCCATGGTGTCGGGGTAGTATTATGAGTACTATATCATGAGTCATCATGCATTCATTCCGATTTCCAATTAATAAACATGCTATAAGTTAACAAATAAGCAATACTATGAGAAGATACCTACACTCTAAATTCTCTCTCATACGAATCATTGATAGACTTTCCATCGGCTTAGAATTTTCTTTGTTTATTATTTTTTTTCTCAATACAATTTGGGTGCATGAACTTTGGCTGTTTCGGAATGCTAGCACCTAAACTTATAATTTGTCATAATTTTTTTTAAAAAAGACAAGTTGTTGAATTACTCTAAGTGTACTGGGAGCACTAGTGGACCCGAAGAATTTTTAGCAGAAGTGTAATTTTGAAAGGCTTAAAAGCTTTATAAAAAAATATTAAAAAAGACATATTATGATCATTTGAATTACATTCAAACTTGCTTTGGAGCTTGATCGATACAATGTTTTCTTTCTGGCAACAAGACTTGAATGATGAGTCAGTTTTTATAACTGAGGACATATGTATCGATCAAGCTTCCAAGTAGTGAGGACATATTTTCTCTACATAGAAATAAAAATCAACCAAGAAAATAAACAGACTTGGTGGTGGAGATGTTTTTTTAATTTTTTTATTTATGAATTTGATTATTTTATAGACTTGTGATTGGTGGGATCATCAAAAAGGGACTTTCTTTTTTTAAAGCAAAATCTCCTTACTTTTCCTCCTTTTTCCTCTAGAGTACAATCCTTTTTTGTTTTTTTTTTCCCTGGTCCAAATGATGTCGTTTTGGCTAGGGTTTTTTTAAAAATCAACAAAGACTGAGTGGAGGTGCAACTTTCCGCACCTGCAATGCTTTCTCCCGGCGGGGGGTGCAACTGCACCTCTTGCGCCTCTGTAGCCCGCCAATGACTAGGAGGGGGATCAAAAGCCGGCTGTAAAGGGGCGAGCACATTACTGGACTGGCTCCTTAAAATTGAGGATCCTGCGTCAAAACCGAATCGGTTTTTGGGTTTTGAATCTTGTAAATTTTTTATTTTTTTTTTTTTTTTTTTTTTTTTGGTGGGGGCCGAGTTAGAAAGTGGGAGGGAAACTCACACATAGGTACCGTGGGGGTTTGAACCCAAGACCACTTGAAAGCACATCAAAGGCATGAGTCCATCCAACTACCTTCATTGTTTCATTTTGAAATTCTTTTGCCCTTTTTTTCTTTTGAATTTGGCAAGTGTAAAGTCTCATTTGTTGCAAGGAGGAGCTCCTCCCTTAGTTTAGGAGCCCAGGTGTGCTCTTAATTTATGAGCATGGCTTGGCTCCTAAAACTATAGAAAAGCTCCTCCTTAAAACCAATGGGATTTTGACACTTGTCAATTTCATTAACAATGACAAGTTTCAATAAAAAAGAATATTCAAATATTTTGACACGTGTCCAAACCACATTGGTTGTATGGAAGGGTTCACTAAGTGGAGGGACAAATTCAAATTTTGGATAGGATGCCAAAAGGGTACCGAGATTTGGGTACAGCAGATCTGAAGTCTCTCTTACAATTGTAGTGCCTAAGCTTTGATTTATTACTTTTCACTTCCTCCGTGTATAATTTTCCTTCCACATCTATTTTCTTTTTTCTGCACTTTTTAAATTCCTTGTTAATCTATTACCGTCTTCTTCAAGATTTCAGCCGAGAAATTAATAATGACAGAAGATAACCATGCAATTGGGATCGATCTGGGGACAACTTATTCGTGCGTGGCAGCGTGCAGGCTGATCATGTAGAAATCCTGGTGAACGATCATGGTAACAGAACAACTCGATCTTATGTTACATTCACTGATAGTAAGAGGTTGGTAGGAGATGAGCATTTAAACAAGTGGGGAGGTTCCCAGCCAACTCAAATCTTCGGTAAGATTAAATGATATGATCAATTATACTTAATTGTTTATTTGTTTCCTTCCTCACATAATCTCTAAAAATGATTTTACAGATGCAAAGAGGTTAATTGTTAGGAGATTTATGAAGAAACTGTTCAAAATGATATCAAGTGCTGGCCATTCAAGGTCATTGAAGGTCCTGCTGACAAGCCCTTGATTGTGGTTTAACCACAAGGGTGAAGAGAAAAAATTTGCTGCTGAAGACATCTCTTCCATGGTTTTGGCAAAGATGCGGGAGATTGCCGAGTCCTACCTTTGCTCAAAGATTTCAGCAAAAAATGCAGTTATCACTGTCCCCTCTTACTTCAACGACTCACAGCGCCAGGCTACAATAGAGGCTGGCAAACTTGCGGGCTTAAATGTGCTGCGTATTATCAACGAACCAACTGCTGCAGCCATAGCTTATGGAATCGACAAGAAGGCCGGTTGGTTTAACAAGAGAATGTGATGATATTTGATTGGGGTGGTGGTACGTTGGATGTGTCACTACTTAACATAGGCCATGGTGTGTTTGACGTGAAGGCCACTGCCGGAGATACTCACCTTGGCGGTGAAGACTTGGATAACAGAATGGTGAACTACTGCGTCGAAGAATTCAAGACAAAACAGAACGTGGACATTGGTGGAGACGCCAAAGCTCTTCGGAAGGCCAAAACTGCGTGTGAGAAAGCAAAGAAGGCACTTTCGTTTTCCTTTGACACTGATATTGAAATTGACTCTTGGTATAAGGGTGAAGATTTTCATACAACTTTTACCCGCGACAAGTTCGAAGACTGAACATGGACATCTTCAACAAGTGCATGGAGCCTGTGAACAAGTGTTTGGAGGATGCCAAAATGGGCATAAGAGAGGTCGATGACGTTGTTCTTGTTGGTGGGTCTTCTAGAATCCCCAAGGTTCAAGAGCTATTGCAGGAGGTTTCAAGGGTAAGGAATGTGCAAGAGCATTAATCCCGATGAGGCCGTGGCGTATGGAGCCGCTGTTCAAGCTGCAGCCTTGAGTGGGCATGTAACCGGGAAGCTTCAAGACTTCACTCTCTTGGATGTCACCCCTCTATCACTTGGGTTGGAGACTATGGAATGTGATAGTTCCAGGTTATACATGAATGTTGTGATTCCAAGAAACTCAAGAATTCCGGTGAGGAAGACAAACACATGTAACTACTGTTGATGACTACCAAGAGTCTGTTACCTTCCCCATTTATGAGGGTGAAAGTAAGTAGCCAAAATAATAATTTTTTAGGTGAATTCACCCTCCATGGCATTCCTCCGGCCCAGGGTGTTCCCAAATTCACTGTTTACTTTGATATGGGACGCAAATGGAGTTTGAGTGTCTCTGCTGAGGATATGTCCACTCGCCAGAAGAAAGGGATCAAAATCAAGCGTGACAGAACAAAGTAACTTTTTTAGGAATATACGGATTAAGATAGCATCTACTATGAAGTAATTATTTTCTTTGATTTATGTTTAAGTACAATATCTTTAAGGGAAGTCGATGTGAAACTTCTTTTGCTTGTGCATTTCGTGATTTGCTGGTTTTTTTCTCGTCTCTGGTTGGGGTGTGGGGGAGTGGCTTGTAAAAAGACTTGCCTGATTTGTAGCGCACACATCTTATAAGTAAAAACATATTTCTTCCCGCAAATACATTCAAGAAAGCTTCACGTTTTTATTTTGGATTAGATTTTTGTGTCTGCTCCCTATAATCCTCAACGAGATTTGTTATAAACGTTTTACAAAAGTTTAATTTGGTACGTATTACAGACACAAGAAGATAATTTATAGATTAAATTAGGGCAATTTATCTTCTTTCTTTTCTTTTTTTACAAACGATAGAAACATATTTACAAGGTAATTTTATAACAGGTCAATAGATTCACACAACTGTCTAATACACCCACAATAAAATCACAACTAGATATCAAACTCATCTTCGCAATTATATATCACTCTCACCTCATCGACTGTCTATGTGAGTCAAACCTGAGATCTCCAACCAACTGAAGATAATACCACTGAATTCAAAAGCTAATTAATTAAGGCAAACTATTATTATTAGTCTATGAACACCATCAATTCGCTTTTTATACAGCTAAAACGAAAATATATATCCACTTACTCAATCATTAAAATGCATTCTTTCTCACTAAGAACATGGAAACGCAGCATGATTGGATGAGGAGATATGAATGGCACAAACCTTTCTTCCTGCATGATTGGATGAGTCTTTCAAATGAAGTTCTTTACTTGACCCAAAAGATAAAAATAAAAATCTTCTCGCATGACACAGATAAATGACCATGCAGCTCCAAAAAAATTATTTTATTTTATCTCTTTGTGGGAAAAATATTTATTCTTCATTCCCTTGGAAGTTGAAAGTAGTCAACTTATTTACCAGTTATGTCTTGACACATTTGCCCAATTGTTCCTTATGTGTTTTTAGTGAGTATTTTGTATATTGTCTAACTAAGGTTTTGGGAAAAAAGGAGCTTAGTTGTGCTAGTAAAGAAATGAAGGTAACGTGAGTTTAGGTTTCTGACAAATAAATTTTTAAATGAGTATATAACAATTTCACAAATTATTACTGAACATGATTTTACTGTTTTTGTTCTCGAAAAATGTTTTTCAAATTAAATTAACATATAAATTCTTAGATATAGGAAATGTACATTTGTTTTCCCATTTTTGTTTTCCCGTTTTGCTATATTGTATTAGTTTTGTTATGCATACGATTTTATATTTTTTCTTGTCTTTATCCTTTATGGCCCCACTGTCATGAGCATTCTTCCTAACCTTTTTAGCTTTCTATCACGACCAAGACTTTCCAACTGCCCTTTTTAATTATTGGGTTATTTACTCAAATGGTTTTTTCTGATTTTTTATAGTATTTTATATAGATTTTAATTAATTAATTAATTTTTAATATAAATTGAGGATTTTAACTCTCAATTAACGGTAATATTGATGGAGTGTAACAGTAGGACCAATTTACCAAATAATATATAGTTGATGGATCATTTGAATGAATAATTTAATTGAGAGACCAAAATGCAACTCGAGTATAAGTTTAAGGACCATTTGAGTAAATAACCCTTCATTTATTTGTACTAGTCATTGTGACTTTTGCTTTTGTTTTTTTTACGGAGAGTGACTTTTGCTTATGGTGATCCCCTTCGTCCTCACCTTTTTTGCTTTCTAATCTGTCACGACCAAGACTTACAGCTGCTTTTGTTATATATATATTCCATGTATATGGTGACAATCTTGTTGATTATTCAAAATAAATCACCAAGGAAGTTGCGCACACTCAAAGACACCGCCAAGCCGAGACAATCGTGTTACGTTATTGTGCCAAAAAAAAAATTTCCATGAAAACATTAGCTGAGGTACGTGTTTTAAAGTTGTGTCTAAATTTTCACAAACCCAAACAAATTGTAGACAAATAGAAAATAAATCAAAGTTTCACAAATCCAAACAAATTATAGACAAATAGAAAACAATAAAATATAAGAGTAAGATTAACCAATCTTAATTAAGTGAATCAACCCAATTGAACTTTGATAATATATTATATGGAGAGTAGCGAATAAACAAAAGTCACAACCTTGTTTCCAACCTAATTATAAGAGTAGGAGAAATGGGAGAACATTATGATCCATATCCATTGCCACATAGTACGATCCAAATCGTATACTTTTCTCATCTTCATTTATAGATCATTCTTAATTCATAGATCATTCTTACAAAAAATTAAACAATTGAACATCATTAAGACACTAATGAGGTGTTAGTTAGATTGGCCCAGACTTTTGGTGTGCTCCCAAGTGTTCCTGAGTTTAAGTCCTCATGGTACTAGTGTGAGTTTCCCCTTCGCCTTCCTAACTTAACTAAAAAAAACCACCATTAAAGCATATATTATGACCAACATAATAGACAAACATGGTGCTTCAAAAAAAAAAATTTTAATGACAACTATTATTTGAGTAGTCAAATTAATGGTTTCAATTGGAACTTTTTTTTGCAGAGATGATCTTTAAAAGAATAGTTAAAAGTTAGACATTTCAGATTATTGAAATATAATGCAAGTGAAGCCTTACGAGGGTGTCTGTCAAATAATTTGAGGGATCATTAAACTTATATATATAATTAAGATAATCAACTCGTTACTCATCAACTCCCCTCCATACCGACTGCCAAAAAAAAACTCATCAACTTCTGCTTCTAGCCAGTCTCCTGAACCTGGTGCTTCCATGGCCGTAGAGAACATGCCACCATTTCCGGTTCCAATCAAACTTACGTGTGATATATATAACTATCAACAGTGGAAATCTTTCTCTCTTTCATATTTTAACTACCACAATCTTTCTGGAATCATTCATGGAACAGAGCCTCGTCCAGGCCTATTTGAGTCTACCCTTAGTAATTGGTCGGGCAGAGTTCAAAAGGGTTTGAGTTGGTTCGACAGAGATCAACAGGCTTTGAAGTGGATGAGAGCCACTCTATCTGGAATTCTCCAACAAATGGTCATGGACGGAGCTGACTCTTCACGAAAGGTCTGGCAAAATCTCGAGCAACACTTCGCCAATCTCTCTCATGCTAGCATCTATCAGCTTAAATCCGAACTACACAAAGTGAAGAAAGATCCCACCATTCCGATGGCTGACTATCTGGAAATAATCAAACAGCTGGAGATCGATCTTGCAGCTGCCGGTGCTCCTCTGGAATTTCCCGACCTAGTTCATGTACACATCCTGGCGGGATTACCAGAGGAGTACAATCCCTTTCGTGCAAGGATAAACCACTCTCCAGTAAGTGGTTGGGATGAGTTGTATGACTTATTGTTGAAGGAGGAAATGCTTCTGGATCCACAGCGCACGTTAAAACTTGGACATGCTTCTTCTGCCTCTCCTCCTCAAGAAAAAGAAGAGTACGCAATCGGGATCGATCTGGGGACAACGTATTCCCGCGTAGCAGTGTGGCAGAAGGATCATGTAGAGGTTATACTGAACGATCACGGGAACATGAAGACTGCATCTTATGTTGCCTTCACTGAAACTGATGAGACTAATTTGGTAGGTGATGCAGCATTTAACCAAGTCGTCAGAAACACATCCAACTCCATCTTTGGTACGTATCATATTCATATGTAGGATTAAACGCACGTTTACTGTCTCCTTTTTAATTATATTCACTTAGAACTATAATCATAAGTATATATATGAAATTGTCACTTTTTCTAAGCTATCTAGCAGCTAGATTGTGAATCAACACTACCCATAATCTTTGCTTGAACAAATCCAAGATGGATTTTGATTTTTACTACCAGAGCCAGCTAATATGTGTTTGCATGAATTGTAGTTTAAGAATTTTTTGAGGAAGTTAAAATTGTCTTAACTCTCAGTAAGATCCTACCATGGTGGGAAAAAAAAGTTAATGTATTGGTTAATAAGCTATTATTATATACCTACTTAAACTCGTGCTATCTGATAGAACTTGGCATCCATTTGCAGATACAAAGAGGTTAATCGGTAGGAGATTCAGTGACGCCTCTGTTCAAAGTGATGTGAAGCTCTGGCCATTCAAGGTCATTGAAGGTCCAGGTGGCAAGCCCGTGATTGTGGTCACCCACAATGGCCAAGAGAAACAATGTTCTGCTGAAGATATATCATCCATGGTTCTGGTAAAGATGAGGAAGATTGCCGAGACCTACTTGGGCTCAACTGTGAAAAATGCAGTTATCACGGTCCCTGCTTACTTCAATGACTCGCAGCGCCGAGCTACAAAAGATGCGGGCATGTCTGCTGGCCTAAACGTGTTGCGTATTATGAATGAACCAAGTGCTGCTGCCATTGATTATGGCCTTAACAAGAAGGCCAGTTGGAGTAGCCCGCGAAACGTGATGATATTGATTTGGGTGGTGGCACTTTAGATGTGTCATTGCTTACCATGAGCACTTCTGGTGACTTTGAAGTCAAGGCAACGGCTGGAGACACTCACCTTGGCGGCCAAGACTTCGATAACAGATTGGTGAACTACTGTGTTGAGGAATTCAAGAGGGAGCATAAATTGGACGTTAGTGGAAACAAGAGAGCTCTTAGGAGGTTAAAAAAATGAATGTGAGAAGGCAAAGAAGAGACTCTCATTTGAGTCTGACATTGATGTTGAAATTGACTGTTTGTGTGAGAATACTGATTTCACCATAACTTTTACTCGGGCCATATTTGAACAACAAAACAGGGAATTATTTACCAAGTGTATGGAGCCTGTGAAGAAGTGCTTAAGGGATGCTAACATGGACGTAAGCCGGGTCGACGATGTTGTTCTTGCTGGTGGCTCTACTAGAATTCCCATGGTGCAACAGCTATTGCAGGAGTTTTTCAAGGGGAAGGAGCTGTGCAAGGGCGTTAATCCGGATGAAGCAGTGGCATATGGCGCCGCGGTTCAAGCCGCAGCCTTGACTGGGAATGGAAAGGGGGAGTTTATTCAGGACTACACACTCAAGGACGTCCTCCTCTGGCACTTGGTGTTGCAGATAAGAAATTCATGCAGTTGATTCCAAGAAACTCTCTAATTCCCGTGGTCAAGAAACAAGAATTGTGCACTAATATAGATGGCCAAATTCTCATGAACCTTCCCATATATGAGAGTGACAGTAGCATACCAGCAAATCTCAACTTTCTGGGTGAATACAGCATCCGTGACATTCCTCCAGCTCCCAAACATGTTCATAAATTCGATGTTTTCTTCGAAATTGATCCCGATGGCATCTTGAGTGTCTCTGCTGTCGATAAGTCCACTGGCCAAAACAGAGAGATCATAATCAACCGTGACAAACCGAAGAAGTCTGAGGGAATGCGGAGAACTAAGAGATAGGTAAGAAATGATAATCCATATGCCATGCTACCGCTGAAACAGAATATATTATAAAATCAAATCAATTTGATATATCTTTACTTTGTTAACTTGTAGCAGGTTATATTGTTTTAGGGTGAAATCATGTTTCTTTTTTTTTCTTTTTTTTTTGTGATCTACTTCAGCAGCCCCAATATTCCTATGGCCGTCTACGCTGCACCGCATTGCAGAACTCAATGATCCTCACCATGTGGTGCCTCACTGTTTTCTTGTTAATGCTTAATTATTACTCTTTATATTTGAACTATATAAAGTTTGATATTTTGTTATGCAAACTGGTCAACTACAAATTGGGTTCATTCAGCTGGTGCTGGTATTGGGCTTGATTTCTTTTGTTTGGCTCATTCGAGCTTGGTTTGCTTGAAGAATAATTAATTCAAGCTGATTGGGAATAAACAATCCAACTACGACAGAGACAAAAACACCTAAACATTTTTTCTCTTCAACCTTCTAATGTCATCAATCCACAAACACCAGAAACTGTCTTACAAAAGACAACACTTCAGGTTCAAGAGTTCTTCCCTACCTGTTTGCATACCTTTTTTCTCTTTTGGTGTGTGCATATTTTCCATCACCATCCAGACTATAGTTTTGATATTATTATTACATCAACAAAATATCATGTACGGTGTTTCATTACCATACAATAATCTCTCCTAAACTCGGTTCATTGGTGGATTGACTCAACCTCCTCCTGATCCGTTGGGAAAATTGTCTTGAGTTACTATAGCCTAAGCCCTCTGTCAGTTTTGTGTTACGCTTAGCACAAAACACAATAACATACCTCTAGGCTATTGACAACACATCTGTCTAACAGCATTAAAAATTACATTACAAGATTAGGGTTCCATAACAGATAAACAAAGCAAATTGCATCCATTGACGTCCAGAATAAGGTTTTGAAGTTATAACCCAAATAAAATCTTCAAAAAAATCTTCAACCTTCCTTTTTCCCCCTTTTCATTTCTTTTGTTTTTCCTGAAGATAACTCTGGCAACAGAATCATCTTACTTTCATTTACCGCCCGAATCAGAGTTGATTGCTGGGGTAAATAAAGTATGACCATTTCCTTCAAGTTCTTTGCATCCTCAAGCATATATCTTCTAGCTCCAGTTCATTGTTCCCAAAGCTCTATTGTTGCCACCTTAAGCTGATCAATAAAAGCCAAGTTTTGAGATTTACAGAATTCCTTATTAAATCCACACACCTGGAAAGGAAACAAGCAAATCAATTTGAAAAACTAGAGACCAAATGTTACTCTCAGAACGCACTACTACTTAAGATGATATCCTATACATCTCAGGATACAAACATTTAAGTTCTAAAAATAACATTTCTCAGAGCACAACTATTTTAGTTTTTTTGACCCAGATCAATACACTACTCATTTGAGTGTTGTGGACTTGTGTGTGTGTGTGTGTATGTGTGTGTCTGTGAGAGAGAGAGAGAGAGAGAGAGAGAGAGACGGACAAACAGACAGACAGAGACAGAGACAGAGGGGACAGACTTGAACTCTTACTTCAGGTTTATGGATGAGTAAGGAAGTGTCAGACTTTATGTACAAAGTTTTCAAATTGGGTATTCCTCTCAGAAGAGAGACCATTGCCGTGACTATGTCATCATCCAAGCTCTCGATATGCATACCCAGGTAAGAATATCATCAAACGAGCCTGCAATATTATATAGATGAGAGGCAAACTCTTAAATGAAACAAGTGTGAGCACCCAGAACACTATAATGAAAAAAGATTCACACAATTGAGCTAATTGCAATCAATTTCAATAATCTACATAATGATCATTGGTCAAAAAGTTATTTTATTTTATACTTTTGGTTATGTTCACCTTCTGTTTTTTAACCAAAGAAGAGATGGGAGCAAAGTGGGAAATCAAAAAAATAAACAATCTTAAATAGTTTTAAAAAAATCATTTTAGTTCTATCTATTCTCCCTCCTCTCTGCCTCCAACCTGTCAACTCCCTCAATCCTTTCACTCCTTAAGACATAAAAAATAAATAAAATAAAGTATCAAATGACACTTTTTTAATTTCCAATTTGTATTTTTGCAGATTGATAGTTCATGCATTGATTTCAAATAAAACTTGCAGCACCAATATGAAATATCATCCATGTAATACCATCACTTGGTTTTGAAACAACTTTTAAGTTTACGAAACATAAATTAGCCATCCCTACTATTGCCACGCTGTAGAATCATAGCGAAGATACGTTCCCTGCAATATCCTTCAAAAGATTCCAGAAAATACATAATCTAGCATAAGTTCATATTGCAAGGCATAATGTTTTTGCTACAAGAGAGTTTCAGTCTGAATTTTTACCTTGGTCGTCTCTCCACTTAGAATAAGGACTTTAGCCCTGCATACACTGCAAAGAACCTCAAGTACATTGCTGAAGTCATTGTTATCTACCCCATGCTTCAGAAAAATCTCAGCCTTCTCTAGACACATTAGTTTCCCCAGATTTTGGTTATTCAACAAATTCCCAATCCATTTCAAATATTCAAGATTTAGAGCAAAAACTTTGAAGGATCTGCTGCTAGTTGAAGCAAATCTCCACTCTATCTGTATGTCTTCAAGTTTCTCACAAGAGATATTAAGATGACAGAGGCTACAATAAGAGGGAAACACAAAACTAAAGATTCCAACGACGAGCTTTCCATGGTGATATTTTCTACTTCAACATGTTCAAGATGCAATTCCTTAATGCATTTGCAAGAACACGAGATCCATTTGCAAAGCCCCTCATCTACTGTAACATTTGTCAACTTTAAGTACTGGAGATTAGTGGAACTAACCAAGGAGGGCGCTGTAAGAATTTTATTGCAGTGCACTGATAGAGACCTCAAAGAAAGATGCAAGATGGCAACTCTAGCATCGTTGTATCAGGTATCCTCAACTCAAGATCAAGCACTTCAACATTCCACCTATTACCTTCATTTCTTCCTTTTTTTCCATATGGATCCACGTGACTACTCGGTAAAGCTCGTTATAGAGTCTTGCAGCTTTTCTGTAACTGAGACTCCAACAAATACAAAAGCATTGTATCTTATTCTCCCTACGACGAACCAAGAAACCTATCCAAAGAACTCAACAACTTGAATTGCTTGGCATAAGAGGATTTATTCCAGTTGTTAAATTCATCAAAATTCAATGAGGGCGTTGACAGATAAAGTTCTCTGCACTTTTTGGATAAAGTGCCGAAACGAGTGAGATCCAATATAGAAACTGATGAAAGAATTTGATGAGCAACTTCGTTGGGCAGATCACTAAATCTATCTTTCATATGGTCAGGACAAGCTCCTTGAGCCTGAGAACTTGTAGTTGCCAATAACTTGCGCTTAGGTTCCATGATACTTGTTGTCCTTTTGTTCTTGTAATAGCACCTTACACCTACTAAGATAAAGGACACGAAAACACTACGTAAACATATGACATCGACAGTACAAAACCCAAGACCGTTAAATCTCTGTATGCTTCTAATTTGGAATATAAATTTGCCAAGTTCTACTATCTTTGAGTCATTAATAGAAGATTCAAAACAACAAAAAAATTGCCATAAATTAGAAAACAACCTACAGACCATTTGTTAAATTTTATCTATAACAAAAAAGGGAGTGTAAGTGGAGAAAAGGGAGTGAGAACATACAATTTTTAAACAAAGGGAGTGTAAGTGGACAAAAGGAGAGTGGGAAAATCACTAGCCATTTTATATATAAAGACGGCATTATGCAACTAACCCTTAAAGCCGTCCTGTAGGTCAACGAAACCAGAAAATGCTCTGTGAAAGTTTGCAGTTTTTCCTCTTAATAGAATTCAAAATCTTCCAAAGTTATCAATTACCAACAAAAAAATTGTACAGTAAGAAAGAAAAAGACCTAAGCTAGCAGCAGTAAATGGGCTTTACCTAAAGTTTATTGAAGAAGAAAGCCTCTGTTCCAACCCTTGGAGACGAAGGCACGAGCAGTACTGAAAGAGCTTCAGATGGTGAAAGCTGAAGAATTTCATAAAGGAAATGGAGAAATTGGAATCAGCAAGGGCATAGAATTGGGGGGGGTTGAACGATCGGAAATTAATCCATACCTGATAAGGCTACCGATCTGGTAGCTGCGAAACGGAGATTGTGGGTCGTCTCTTCAGTGGGTCCGGCACTCGGCCGGCAAGTCCCCATTTCGTCTAATTTTGGTGTTGCTCAAATCAAAAGAACTTTTTTTGTTAATATAAAAATAATTTATTCAAAATGTGTTGGTTTAAAAAAAAATACAAATTCATTTCTTATTTTCATTTTGACAAAAACCTTTTATGAAAACTGATTTTAAAAAAGGGACATCTTTGACGTGAGAATCTTTTTTCTTTTTTTTTCTTTTTTTTTTTACAATCAATTTTAGATTGGATAAGTCACTAAATTCTAGATATATTGAAGGAGAAAATGAAGATAGAGGTGAATATTTTTCCATTGAGGGGATTAGGGGGGAATTAGTTATACATTGTTGCTATCCTACCATTTTGTAGAGATTAGATGGGATAAATTCTTCATGAGTAATCCATCTTTAAATCCATTTTATACCTTCAACTTGGTAAAAAAAAATTCATTTTTATCTTAAACATGCTTTAAATATAGGGAGTTATTCAATCAAATCCAATCAAATCCAATACTAAGTACCACCCATAGTCTAAAATATCGATAATATTCGACGAAATATCGAGGATATTTTGTTTTTTCGAATCACGGATATTTCGGAACATATCCATATACATATCGTATAAATATCGACAATATCGACGATAATATTGAAAATATCGATGTCGATAATTTCGCTCACACTTCAGCAATATTTTGTCAAAAATATCGATGTAATATCGCTAAAATATTAAAAATATCGATGTAAAGAAAAAAAAAGGGAGGGAAAAAAAACACAAAAGGGCGATTTGAACCCCTCCCATTTTACTCCTCCAACACCTTAACCACCATATATCACTTATGTTTTAATGATAATATGTTAAAATATTTATATTTATATGGATGACATGTTAACAATTACATGCAAATTATTTTGGGGATTTATCATTTGATGAATACTTTTCATAATACACTTACTCTACACATAGAGATCATGAAGATATTGAAAATTTGAATATCATAGAAACTCTATATGGTACTAAGTCACTTATGTATCTTACCATGCAATGTATAAAGTATAAAATATTGTAGTAAATTATTATATATAAATGATTATGGTGTGTTGAATCTTTTTTTCATTAATTACTACATATTTTCTACACTCACAGTATTTGCCAGCTCGCTGTATAATCAACTTAAATAAGTTAAATTCATCATGCAATGCATTTCATTCTATTTTTGTTTTTTATAAACTAATAGATAATTGACTAAATAAACATTCTCCAAAGTTTCAATAAAAATTTCCAAGTTTTTCTTACAATTTTCATGGTTTTTATTCAATTTTTATCGATATCGATAATATCCCGATATTTTCATCGAAATTTCCATGTTTTTGAACTACCGATATTTCCGATATTATCAATATTTTAGACCATGGTACCACCAAACGAGCCATAGGATTATTGTTTGAGGAAATTTTTTTATCCTTTAGCTCTTGCAAGTGGCAACTTAGTCATTTTTTATCTACGCATTGTTTCGTTTTTTTTGTTTTTTTTTTTTTTTTTTTTTTTTTTTTTTTTAATGACAAACATAGGAACTACAATATAGATGATTATTACGTGGTTTTTTTTTTTTGTCCCATCAAATATAAATGTTGAACCCTATAATCCTTGAGCACCACTCGCGGGCCCAAAACTTGCCTTGTACAAATATAAAACAGTATTTAAAAGAACTTAATACAAGGAATCTTTTATTCATATTCCTAATTGTGATTGGATATAGAGACATGATGAATTGGGTTTCGTGCTCTTTTTCTTTTTTAGTGCTAGTCATTGTGAGTTCACATTCACATCTGTGGTGGGTGACTTGTCGGCTTCTCATAATTACAAAGACTTTCAGCTGACTTGCATGCAGCTGCATATGTTGTGTTTTTTTACTTGGGTCGTAAGCTACATATGTTACATTCGTGGTCACCGTCAATGTCATGTTGCGTTGATGGTGAAGTTTCCAATAATTCTCTCATTCCTAGCTAGTAGTGTTGCTTTTTAGGGGTGAGTACGGTACGATTCGACTGCTTTAGTAGTGTTGCTTTGTAGGAGTGGACACGGTACGATTCGATGCTTTATTAAGGAGAAGGGTCCTCCTAGTTGAGGTCATATTTCTTTTGTTTTGGTGGGAGACAAACTTTCCATGTTTTATCACATGTTTTGGGGCACATGTCACTCGATCGGGTTTTCATGGTACATTTATGTGGGGCTGCTCTTTTTGGTTGGCTCTTGAGGAGGAATTTGGGAAAGCTGCACTGCATGGTTTCTTCGCTCATAAGGCTGTTGGATGGCAACTTCCCTTTGGCTGAAGAAGAAAATAATGGAGAACTAATAATTAAGCAGAAGAGAAAAAGTAGCTTCATTTGCTTTTCTGGTGACCTGGAAAAAGACTTTAAAGCAACAAAAGTAGGATAAGGATCCTAGGAAGGAATCATATCAATTTGAAATCTAAGGAATCATTGTTTCTCAGCTGTTTTTATGTGAAAGACAATTGTCGCAGTTAAAGCCATCTTGCTTGGTTTTACCTTTTTTATAACATATGATTGGTGAGGTAAATAAAATATGACCATTTTCTCCAAATTCTCTGCTTGCTCAAGAATATACCTTGCTAACTCCATTCCATTAAACCCATTGGAAAGCACTACCGTTACCTCCTTAAGCTGATCAGTAAAATTCAGGTTTTGGGATTTCCAGTACTTCCTATTACATCCGCGTGCCTGAAAAGGCAATAAGCCAAAAAAAATTCAAAAGTACCAAAACAAGGATTTCTCTGAAAATAAAGAAGGGAAGGTGTTATTCCCTGAACTATAACACTACCTGCCTACATTTGATGATATGCACATGAGGGTCATACAATGCTTTAGAAACAATACTTTGAGCCATAAAATATCTTTCTTGCCAGACAACTACTTCAATATTCTCCTCATTTGAGAAACGGTAAAATGTGTTGTGCATTTTTTAGAGAGAGGGAGAGAGAGCAACCTAGACTGTAACTTACTTTAGGTTTATGGAAGAGTGAGGAAATGTCAGAGTCTATGTGCAAAGTATTCAAAGTAGGCATTATTCCTCTCAGAAGAGAGACCATAGCTGGGACTAGGTCGTCACTGAAGCTCCAATATGCATACCCAAGTAAGAAATATTATCGAATTGTGCAGGCTGGAGCCTTCCTTGAACAGAACCTGCAATAGTATAGAGGCCAACTCTTGAACAGAAAAATTATGACCACTCAAACATCCTATGAAAGAGTAGAGAAACAAAGTTGAGCAAAAAGCAATATATCATCAATTACTCAAACACTCAAGGCCATATCATGCTCCTACATTCATTTGTCAAATCAATTGCTTCTTAAATTTGAGTAAGGTTTATCTTTTGAGATGAGAGAGGTGAGGGAGAGAAGAGAAACAATGAAACAAATTTGATCTACAGAAATGCATAACGCAAAATGTCTTACTTTCGCCAAAAGAGAATATTTGTCTGCAGGGTAGTGCATTTTACCTTAGTGATATGTCGTCACTTAAAGAACTTTAACCCTACATATATACTGCAGAGAAACTCAATTGCATTGTCAATGTCATCGGCATCTGCCTTACGCCTCAAAAAATCTCCGCCTTTTCTAAACACATTAGTTTCCCAAGATTTTGGCGCTTCAATAAATTCCCAACCCATTTGAAATATTTGAGACTTGGAGCATAAATATTCAGTGATCTGCTGCCACGTTAAAGAAATCCCCACTCTATATGTATATCAAGTTTATCACCTGAGATGTTAAGTTG